AAGTTATAGTAATAACATTATTAATATATCTAATGTAACAAAATCTTTTTTTTTCTTTTTTTTTTTTATCCACTTTTTGACTCTGGTTGAAATGTAAGAAAATAAAAAATAATTTATCAAAATGAATTGGTAGAATAGTTTTAAAGACGAAAAGATTTTTATATATAGAATTTGAGAAAAGAAATAAACATCTACAATTTTCAAGAGTTTAATGTCCCCCATTTTTGTCATCTTAGCAGTAAATATACTTAGAAAAATATTCAATCTTTATCGGGAAAATATTTACTACAAAAAAAGCAATATTTTTATTTTGTATCAAAATGATTGCAGGCAGCATATAGATTTTGTAATTTTACAAAAAATTCCAGCACCCACTTTTTTAGTATTCTCTTTTCAAGTTATTCTTAATGTTTTAACATAAAACCGTACACTACCAAATAATTTATATTAATTTCCTTGGTAAAGACGTAAATCCATCTCTTCTCCTGTAATTATCAGTTAAATAGCAGAATAAATGAGATGCTATAGCCTCAGAGAAGGGAAACTAAATTTCAAACTGGTTAAGGCAATAAGAAATCACTTCACTATTCTTCCCAAGAAAGCATAGCAATTCATAGATAATAAAGAAAAGGAATCTCTGGATCATCTATATGCTGAAGGCATATGGTAATTTTTTTTTTTTTTTTTTTTTGATATATGCTAGCATTTACATATATATTCTGAAAATTTTTCCAATATTGGTTAGTTAATAATTTTATAATGAAAACCTTGGCTTATAAAATTTGATATAGTGTTGCATAAAGCAAAATAGTTGACATAGGAAGAAAGGAAAATCATGTTACATCCATCTTCTAGAAAAGTCTGCATTCAAAATCCATGCTTTTCTGCCTGGCCTTGAATACTAACCTCTGGCATGTGGGGAAATTATATAACTATTTTAGGCACAAAGGCTACAAGCATTCAATCAAAATCTGTATAAGGGTAGTAGTCTGAATAAATGATCGTCGTACAGTTCAGAGTTGGGCTACTTTAGTGCATCTTTCTCTTTAATGAACCCCAAAATATATACTATAAAATTTAACAGCAATGCCATAGTTACATTTATTTCTAAATTAAATCCAGAATATTGTTTGTGTTGCACAGAAATTTTCTCATTACTTTTCCCAATGGCATGGATCAAAAAATTTGCTGCAAATCTGAAATGGCAAAAGATCTTCTGGACAATGATAAATGGTAATGTCAAACCTCCAACTAAGACATTTTTAATTTAAAAAAAAATACAACTGAAAATACAAAGTCAAAACAAGAAGTTGAATCATTATTTTTTATTGTTTGTATTAGGTTAAAAGCAAAGTGGCATTCTATTTTTTCAATTGACAATGTTTATATTCCAATATGGTTTTCAGAACATTGAGCATCAATAAATCTACCTCCATATTAGAGAATAAATCAAGTGAAAGAAAACCAGACTCTTTTAGTCATTGCTGTCTTTTAAGTCAAATGAGCAATGAACCAGTCAAGCAATATTTTTAAATAATTTATCTTCTTTCCATATTTGGGCGGATGTCCATATTTATTCTTTTTTTTTTCTTTTTTTTTTTTTTCACAATTCTTTGGAAATAAAGTTTATGCTGCATTTTATTTTTCTTCCTTTTTGCCTCCAAAATACAACAAAATATAGTGGAAAAGAATAAAGATGAAAGAAAATTATTTAAAAAATTGAATAATTAAAGCAATTCCTGGAGAAGAAAGAAGTTAGTAATTTCTAATAAATTGGACTTTCTTGCAATATCAAAGTACATTTTTGCAACTGAAGAATTATAATCATTATTAAAGGGTTTAAGTTTATAATAACAAATCCTGTTAATAACAGGAATTAATTATTTACACAAAATCTTTAACAGTAATTTGTATTTTTCTCACTCAGAGGATAACTTATAAGCCCATCAACTGCAGTTCTATGGCTCAACTGCAAATGATGAAAATTTCTACCACAATGGGTTCAAAATTGATATTTAATAAAATTACACAATTTTAATTTTTTCATAATTTTTTTTTGGATAAGGCAATTTTTAACATTTGAAGTTTTCCTTAAAATTAACATTTTTTCTCATTCTTTTGATTTTATTTTTCTAAATTGAGTTATAATTTTTTTCTCAAATAATTTATATCCAAGATTAAGTAATTTAATGTTTAAAAGTTTTAATTTTTTCCTAATCTGCTCATAAAACAATTATTTTTGGCATTTTTTTGGCTTACATTATTTTAAATATAAATATTTGATCCAATTTTTTAAGTAAAAAAGAAAACTGTTGACTTTCTGATCTGTCAGCTAAATTTTAAAGAAATAAGATTTGTTAGAATAATTCAAGACAAAATTTCTTTAAAATACTTGCTTGTAATATTTAAGATGCAACAACCTTAACTGAAAATTCCATTTTCCACTGATGTAGAAAATAGCTGATTCAGTGTACAAGATAACTTCTGAGAGAAGCCAGTTCAGGAAATCTTGTTTTATTGTGAATAATGTTAACAATTATTCTGTGCTGCAATCTTTTCAGACTTCTCACACATAAGAGATTTGTATATTTTTAGTTTGATAAAAGAAAACTGAAAATATCTTTAACAGATGAAGATCTCTTTAGATAAATAAAAATGTTTAAAATTTATAGAGAGAAGTGAAATCTCATTGTTTGATAAATCCAGTTTCTAGAATATACAATGAAAAAAATTAGGGCATAATGATTCAATATGATTTGTGTTGGCAATTTCAAGATGTCTACTCTTTCCACAATATACCAAGAATGATTGTCTTCCAGTTTCTACCCTAATTCTCAATACTTTAGTAAAGATACTTTTTAGAGTCCTGTTTTAATTTCTTTAGATTTTTTATTCATTGATTAATAAAACAAAGTGAAAAATCTTTTTTTTTTTTTTTAAATTGTTCCATGATTCAAAGCTTTAAATTGAAACATTTGATTGTGACTTTAAGATTCAGTATTTAAAAAAAATTATAAAAATACATTTTTTTTTTCCACAACCTTAGTTAATTACTTTTTTTTAGTTTTTACAAGTTGTTTATTTAGGACAAAACTTATTTGATTTTGTAATAGTGTTACATAATAAATTGCAACATCTTGAAATATTGTAGTATGGGATCTTTGATAGCCATATCAAGGAGGCCTTTGCTCTCTAGCTGAGTGCTGAACTGACCTCACACTGCTAGGGCAACTGCTGTAGTGTTGAAAACAAATTCTGTTTCATTTGAAACAATTCAACTTTACATAGTTGAAATTACTTGACAATAACTTGGAATTTGCTGTCCAGACTAAAACATTGACTAATTTTGAATACACAATGTATTTGTAATTCAATCTTTTCATGAAATTGTGACTAGTTTATATAAATGAGTGTTAAATTTTGCAGGAAAATAATCATTCTAACTTTCCAGAAAGTTAGTCCAAAATGCTAAGAGCAAAATAACATATGGATCAACATTTGTTTTCTGAAAAAAAAAACCTCTATTCCAAATAAACTCTGGGGTTGTTCTTGTGTTCCCTTGAATTACTTTGTTTTTTATGCAATATAGTCTCTAAAATATCATATTTTAACATCATTAAAATTTCTGTGCATATACATACATATATATACACACACACACAAGCAAACAAACCTTTCTGTATATATACATCTGCTCTGCCTGGGATTGCAAAATTTGCATGAAACTGACTCATGGAGAGGGTGCATATGCAGAAAAGGTTACTAATTTTGGAATTATATATATAATTTACTATATTAACTGGGGAAAAGTGGTAGATGTTGAGAATAAAGCATTGTGGGGGTAGAAATCAACTCTGGTAACTGTCAGTTTCATGCTTTAAGCAATCATCTGATAGTGACTTAATGTGTTAAAACAATATCACCATGCATTGTTGATTTCTATGTCCACACTGTTTAGAAATATATTATAAATGAATCCATAGCCTTATAGGGGAAAAGGATATTTACTTTTTAGTCATCTTGTCAATGCACTTAATACAGTTTATCTGGAAAAATATTATTCATAGTGACAGTATTATGCAGTGAAAATTTGACATCAAAATTCAGCTAATAGCTTCCTGGCTGGAGATTTATTTATCTGCCCTTGTGTGAGATTGTGTGTGTGTGTGTATATATATATATGTATGACTAGTTTAATGAAAAGGATCTAGGGAAGGAATTTATTTAACTCCCTACATTATGTGTCACCTATAATTAGTTCTTTAAAAAAAAATATGCTTTACTTTAATCCCAGCCTGATGCAAAGTCACTTTCTAAAATATTGGCTTATAAAAAGTTAACTCAGTAAAAGTGTTGATACTTTTTTTAAAATGCAATAGAGGGGTGCCCTTCAAGGAACAAAAGAAAATCTTATCTTGCAACTTTCAATTGTTTATATTTTTTAATTGACAGATCCCTTGATATGTAATTTAATACAGTTACATATTTAATATTATGTTGGGATTGTTGAATGTAGAAAGTATGTTGTCACCAGATACAACTTGATTAAAAAATTCAATTATCATTAATTTAAAAATATAAACCCCTATCAATCCTTTGCTGTTTAATAAAATTTGAGGTATTTTTGTTATGTGTATAATTCTCAAATGACTATTTTGAAAGCATTTATTATCACCAGAATCACCCAATTTGTAGTTCATAAATCAACAATCACAAAGGAAGCAACATTAAAAAATTATAAGAAAATAAAATTTAAATAAAAGCAGAAGATAAAAAATATGCAAAATCAGTCATTTCTTTCCCCAGCTGAAGCCAAAAGATTTTTTTTAACCCATCAGTATGTCAAATTAACTTTTAATCTCTGAATGAAAATATGATGTGTTCTGGTTTTACTTTGTGTGTATTTAATTTTTAGGCTTTAATTTGATTCATTTAAGTTGTTAAGCTGTAGCCTTTCTATATAAATGCTAGAAAATTCCCTTGCAGGATATCTTTTATATTTAATTTTCATAACACTCTTCATCATCATATTCATCTGACTCATTTGCAGTGGCTTCTTGGTATTGTTGGTACTCAGACACAAGATCATTCATATTAGATTCAGCCTCGGTGAATTCCATCTCATCCATTCCTTCTCCAGTATACCAATGCAGGAATGCCTTTCGTCTGAACATGGCTGTAAACTGTTCAGAAATACGCTTGAAAATCTCTTGAATTGCTGTGCTATTACCAATGAAAGTGGCAGACATTTTAAGTCCAGTTGGAGGAATATCACAGACAGCTGTTTTGACATTGTTTGGAATCCACTCGACAAAATATGCACTGTTTTTATTCTGTACTGCAAGCATTTGTTCATCTACTTCCTTCATGGACATCTCTCCTCTGAACATTGCTGCCACAGTGAGATAACGTCCATGTCGAGGGTCACAAGCAGCCATCATATTCTTAGCATCGAACATTTGTTGGGTAAGATCGGAGACACTTAATAGTCGGTAAAGCTGACTGCTACGAGATGTAAGAGGTGCAAAACCAGGCATGAAAAAATGTAGACGAGGGAAAGGAACCATATTGACTGCAAGTTTTCGTAAATCTGCATTTAGCTGACCAGGGAATCGTAGACAGGTGGTAACGCCAGACATTGTAGCTGAGACAAGATGATTCAAGTCTCCATAAGTGGGGTTTGTGAGTTTCAGTGTGCGAAAGCAGATGTCATAAAGAGCTTCATTGTCAATGCAAAAGGTTTCATCTGTGTTCTCTACTAATTGGTGGACTGACAGTGTAGCATTGTAGGGTTCAACAACTGTGTCGGATACCTGGAGTAGATTATATAAGATTATATAAAGGACAAAAACAACTTATAAAAATTTTTTTTTTTGACAATTGTATGTAAAACAGTTTTCTTAATTATTTTGTAACAATTATTATTAGATTGAGCATGTGAGCCACAAGAAAATTCTATGGAAAATGGAAGCAAAAAGAATGCTTATAATTAGAATCAGGAACAGACAAGTGAAAATACATAAAGAGGAAAAGGAGACTTAACACTCACAGGACATATTGAAGGTTAGAAGGAAGTAATGAGCAATCTACTTAATGTGCTTGTGTAAATGAATGGCAGAACAGAAATTAGGAGAATCAGTGAAAATACAACACTGTTAAGAGAAACATGATAGGAAGTTGTGAAGAGCCATGACCACCCAAATCCTGAAGGGATATGGGATATAAAAAATAAGATTATGAGACATGTTATCATTTCACAAATTCTTTAGAGCAGCATCTTGATTTTTGTGAAAATGTTTCAATTGCTATTTGTTCTTTGGCCTTCCTTATGGATGTGTTGTCCTCTTTGTGATGAGTTTAAAAAAAAAAAGAAGTAAACTACACTAGGGACATTACAAAATAGAGTCATTAAAATAATAGAAAGAATATCAAAGCACAAGAAATACATTTTACACAGAATGTTTTCCTTAATGAAATTGAAAATTTAAATTTTTTTTCAAATCCATTCAATTTGTGTAAGTGGATAATGTGCTATTTAAAACTTTACATAATTTTTTCCAAGAGTTGTTTGAACAACTGAATTCATTCTTTGTGTTGCTCAAGCTACTACAACATTTGGGATAATTTTCCAATGAGAAAAAGAACCAATTAAGAATCTTTATTAGAACACTTAAGTGAATGGTGGAAACAACAGAATTTATTAAAAATCAAATGCTGATCAAATAAATCCAGTATAACTAAAATTTAACCAATCCCCACCTGGCTTGCCTAGCCTAGCCTGTGGTTGACATAGTAAATGGTTTCTTGGATAAAATGTCAATCATTTAACCTAATAAAGATGTTTTTAATTAATACCATTCTGCCAATTCAATGTAAAATTATAGGAAGGATCAAATTCTGGGTCTAGAGCAACTTGTCAGTATTAGGGGTATCTGGTTTTCAGATAATGGAAGAATCTTAGAAACTTGAGATTAATTGTAAGGAAATTTTACATTAATGTCAAGATAAAGGCAAATTGTCTATTTTGTAGATGATAAGAGATTAGAAGATACTTTAAGTAGACTGAAAGAACCAACACAAAAACAATTACTATACTGCTGTATTGGCATAAGAATGCTATGAAAATCAGCTTTTTTTTTGATGTGCTAGCTATTTCATATACTATTGATTACATGTATAGCAATCAATATCTGTGGTCCTATAAAAGTTCATAAAAGAATGAGTTTCTGTGATGATTATATATATATATATATATATATATATTCTCAATTCACCTCAAGCAAGGCAGTAATGCCACTAAGTTACAAGGGGCTACTAGGAGTGAAGGAGAATGAGAAAACTTTAGAAGGTACTGGGAACCCAATCCTAAACAGAAAACCAAGGATAAACCTCTACTCTTGTTCAAAAGACTGGGGAGAAGTATGAACCGCATAATTTCTGTCCTTTGTGTTTATTAAGTATTTAATATAACATAATTTATGCACTAAATCATCTACAAGAGCCCAGTGTGTTATCCAGTGGGATGAGGATAAGTCTTTGAAAAAAGGCAAATTTTAACCTGTTTTATGCAGTATTAAGTTTCCAGACTTATTTCAGGACAAGAAAAAAATAGCATCTTAAACTTAAATCATGTTTCATGTTTAATTTCAGGCTGTTTAATGCAGAAATTCAATTTCATTACAAAATTTCTGCCAGAAAGATATTAAAAAAATATTTGCCTTGAAAAACTCAAGAAACTTTGTCTTACCTTTGGTGAAGGCATAACAGAAAATGTTGTCATAATCCTGTCTGGGTACTCCTCTCGTATTTTACTGATCAGCAGAGTTCCCATACCAGCTCCTGTTCCCCCTCCTAGAGAATGAGTCATTTGGAATCCTTGAAGACATTCACAACCCTCACATTCTTTGCGTATCACATCAAGTACTGTGTCAACAAGTTCTGCCCCTTCTGTGTAATGTCCTTTGGCCCAGTTATTTCCAGCACCAGTTTGCCCAAAGACAAAATTGTCTGGTCGGAAAAGTGCCCCAAAAGGCCCTGAACGAACGGAATCCATAGTTCCTGGTTCCAAATCCAAAAGTACTGCACGAGGAACGTATTTGCCACCTAAAATGAAACAGTAAAAGATAAGCATATTAAAGATACTGATTCAGATAATAAAAGTTATCATGGTTGGTATTGATTTTTTATTCTTTGATTATCATGTGGTTGTCATCATGAACCGGTCTGTCAAGCCCTGGTTTGCCACAGTGGATTATGTCTGCTGTAGTGTATGTGTCATAGAGCGGCAATCCATGGATCACCTAAAACAATTTGCAGCCAAGGCTTTCCTGTGTAAAGACTTTTCTTCTTCACAAAAGAACCAAATTGAAGATGAGCAGTCCATGAAGAAAGAACATCCTTTGAAAATAACAGAAGATAAATAGATGGAGAGAGCCCAAAGAAAAACCAGAGCTTTCCATCCCTTGAACCCTCATATCCTACCATGCAGTGGCTGTGGACATCTCTTCAGATCCAAAATAGGTCTCATTTCACACAGAAGGAAATGTCTATGAGCACCCAATACTCAGCAATGAGTTCTACCAACAGCAATTATCACAAGTGTCATGATAAGAGAGTCATGATTTCAGAGATGTGTCAGTAGCAAAGCAACAAAAATATAATCTCTTTGGTGAAGGCAATAAATATTTTTATGAATGAAATAAAAATCAGTTATTGAACTGAAAATGTGCTGACTGTGCAAATCATTGGGAATAGTTTTAGGCTTTATATTGTACTATTTCTGTCATAGTTATTGCATTTAGTGTGTGAAATGTTTATGAAAATGTAACAACTATTATGTGACAGGGTACTATCTTATTAATATAACTTTGTGCCATATTTGGCAAAGTTCAATTAAATCAGATCTTCATAACCAAAAAGCCACCTATATAAAATGAAAAGTGTATCCAAATATATAACCTCTGTCCTGTAAGAGTTGTTGCATTTGCATGCATATTTCATACACTAATTGTAATGACTATTATGGGATAGATGTATTTTTTGTAGATAACATGTTTTTAATCACTAGAAGAGTCTACTATATAAAGGTGAGCAAATTACTAACGTCTCTTCTGGTGATGTAGATGCCCATTTCTATGACTCATCTGTTGATATAAAAATGAACTCTTCTGGTGATATGGAAATCATAATTATTCAATGCTGAATAGAATATTATTCATTTAGATTAATATTTCAGGAAGTATTCAGTATAAGAAAAGCTGGACAGCAAAGATTTTGATATCTTGTAAGTACAAGACAATAGAAAAATGACTTAATATTGCTGTCATTTTTTGACAGCACAGATAAACAAATAATATTAATAATAATAACTGCAACAATTACAGAATAATAATAATAAAAGGATGCAAAAATAATAATAATAATAATAATAATAATATATACCCAGATGATACACTAGGCATATCTCTGATAGATTTTGGTCTTAATTGATTGGAGGTGCTGACATGTACATGTCTTGAGTTACAGTAAACAACTGATTAAGTACCATAGATTTGCTTGTTAATTATTTGGTCATAACCATGTGGGCATATTCCATAGAGGCTGATGCACTCTGCATCTTTGTTCATGAGCAGGTGTAGTGGTATAGTATCCTTTTTGTTTGTTTGAAGGATGATACAGCCAAAGGAACTTGAGAGCCACATCTTGATACTTGGCAACACATTTTGTTGTGATGCATGTACCTGGGATACCGTTATCAAACTGGGTGTGTATCATGATAAATATGACAGCTTTTGTATATTTGTACCCCAACATCACTTTGTTGGTATGCTGCTCTCTCATTCAATAATAGTTAAAATTATGATAAAAGATTGAATAATATTTTTGCAATGTATTCAGTAATGTGTGTTAGCGTGATCAAAGAGTATTTCTTTCATCTTCTATAATAGGAAAACAAAACAGACATGAAATGTCATGAAATATTTTTAAAATACTTTAATTCACAGAACAATGATTTGCTCATTCCCATAAATATAATGAATTAAATTTTATACAAGAAAAATATTCTATTATACATTGATTCTTTTGGACCAGTTTCCTTATCTTCGTTGCTTTTATTATGTTTTGATCTCTACACCCTTCAAATGAGAAAAGCCAGTAGGTACAGGGATAAAAAACATTATGATGTGGGAAACAGATTTGAGGAAACTGGATTTTAACTCTTTATCTCAGAAATCAATACAGTAATTTAAATTTTAAAGTCTTAATAGGAATGTCAAGAAGAATTTAAATTACTCACTTGTTGCTTCATTGAAGTAGACATAAGATCTCTCAAGTTGGAGTTGACTGTTGCCATGATAGATGCCACAAGGATCAATTCCATGTTCAACAGAAATCACCTCCCAGAACTGAAGAAAGAAAATACACATCACATATCAACTTAAACAATAAAAGAGATTTTTATTTCATAATATTCCCTAACTCTTCTTGATTTTCTCTTATTATTTCATATTTCCACAACTATACACCTTTCTCTTATTGCACCATGTTGCTAAAGTTACAATAATAATAATCATATATATAAACTGAAATGCCACAGCGACTTAATATCTACCTGAATTTCCAGGATGAGGTGTTATCATTATTTCTACTATTTATATTTGGAATATTGTCCTCATCTTTGTTGTTATCACATTTTGGCCATTGTGCCCCCCAACCTTCCTCAGGTGTATGTTGATCTGGGCAATCTATAGGGAATTCTGAACTGAGCCCTTTATTTAATCTACATAGGGTAGACTGATTTAAATCATACTGAGCATATATGGGACATGTTGCAGAACTCACTAAATTCCCTGAAGTCATACCTAACAAACACAACTCAGTTATGTTCAGGCCTGAAGTGGGCCTAGGTAGATATATTCAAACAATACATTGGCACCTTGTAAAATACATACCATGCCATATTGAATGAGTAAGAATGAAAAAATACAAGGAATCAAGGCAGTAGAATATTTCACTCAGCTATTTTTTGGAAGAACTGCCATTTTGTGAGACAAGTGTACTTTGTGGGACATAGTTTCTTTCCTGAACACTTCAGCCATGACCTCCTCAACTCAAGGATCAATCATCATTAAAGATGATAGTGATTGGGGAAGCATCCTCCTGGGATTCAGTTCTACAAAACAATAATTTGAGCAGAAGAAGCTATCCAAGTAGAAATTACTCCTTACTAATGGGAATGAGGGTGGTTTGCCTCACTATATCTGGTGTGGTGGAGAATTGAGGTAATGAAGGAATGTAGCTCATTTGAATTTTTTTTTCATGGAAATGCACAACATATAGATTTAGTACTGAAATTTGTTAAGACAAATTTTTAGTTAAAAACATTTATTGCTTAAATTAATCATCTTTTTTACTTTTCAAAAATTATTGGTAATGTTCATTCCTTCATGGCCATGTGCATAATTTTTGCTTTCTTCTCTTATATTGAGATAAATAATCATTAATCATGAACTATTATTGTACAAGTTCTTCTCTGAGAGCTGTGGGGGCATATCCCACCATTTGTACCCTCTAGGAATGACTCTGTTGACACAAGTAAAAACAGAAATAAGTATTAAAGGATCAGCTGTATGAATTTGTATTATTACATTGGATCCAATCACATGTGTTGTGTACTAATTTTAATATGCATTTTATTTCCTATGAGAGTGAATAAGTAGCTGGATTGACAAAGAAGGAGATTATTTAATATGTAAAACAAATGTAGGTTTCATCATTAGACTTCAGAATTATACATATCCTATATTATAATTATATTTGCTTGAAGAATAGAACAATTCCCAATCCAACAAAACCATCAATTTTTGAGTAATTTTTAATCAATTAACGAATAAAAATTTCTGTCCAATCATAATAGCTCCTATTCTGTTAACTGCTATTTACAAAGATATTTCCCTTGACTGCTATAGTGACATATTGGTGATGATATTTTTCTTTTATTGTCCTCTCTGTTTCTTTCCATCTCAGTATTCCTTTGAATACTAGTGGCTTTTATTGCCTTGCTTGAGCTGAAATGATGCACACACACACACACACATATAACAACAAAGATTGCGGTTCAAATATATATGAGAAAGAACAGATGGAGTAAAAATCCACAGTTCGTAGCATTTACTTTATAAAAAAAAGTGCTCAATATTTTTTTTAAAAAAGTAAATGCTACGAATCTTTACTCCATCTGTTCTTTCTCTTATTTGTATATATATATATATATATATATATATTCAAAATAAATAATATTGCTCAACAATTCATTGAAATTATGAGTGAATATTCAGAATTAGGAATAATGAATGTATCCTTCACCTTACACCCATTTCCCTTTACACACAAATACTTTCTATCTCTGTCTCTTTCTTACTTCAATTTTACCACCTTTGATCTTTTGCAAGATAAAACTAAGTTTAGTAAATATTAAAACTTTTCTGGACATTGGTGGGAATTCGTAGGTATACATACATTCCATACATATTTATATATGATTAAGTAAGTAACAATTAGGGAAATCTTTATAAGTTTAACATGTTTCACTATTTAGTGTCATCAGAAGTTTTTAGAAATGATATAATGTGGATTATATTTCAATTTTTTAATTTTCTACTGTTTTGTTTTCATTGGTTGTGTAGACATCACATATATAAATATTTTTCTTTTTTTAATCATTTCACCCCAAGCAAAGCAATAAAGCCACTAAAATACAAGAGGTTATTGAGTGTGAGAGAATATGAGAAAAAGAAAAACATTATTAAAGAGAGAGAACAATAAAAGAACAGAAATGAAGAAAACATAAGATAATGATTGATTTTACATTTAAATTTTTGAGGATCAAAGTTGTCTGGAAAGCAAGAGGCCAGAAAAGAATTCCATAAACAAGAGAAGACAACTATTAACATAGAACTTACAGTTACATCTAGCCATTTCAACTGTAAAATGATAAGACCTAGCTGCCAATCTACAGCACTTAGATACATAAAGTTGAGGTACCAAAGAGGAAAGCTCATCAGAACAATTATCATTTCTTATTTTATGTTGTTTGTGTTTATGTTTGATACTTGAAATGCTAACATGATTTAAAAGTGTTTATTAAAAATTGGGTTTATTAGTGTATTTTAATTGTATGATAAATACATGAAATTAATGCAAAATCCTAGGTTACATCATCTGCAAATATTTAAATCTTACATTCTTTAAGTATTGGTTTTATGAATAATACTTATTGTATTTCTTTATATACAAATATACATATATAAATACAATGAGAAATATTGCATATAGAAGTTGCACCAAGTAATTGAAAAAAATTATAATATAAAGAAAAACAAAGATATTCAATTGAGAAATATCAATGTATTTAAAAACAATTGTATATATGTTCAAAGGAAAGGTGAGCTTTGATGCAGTCTTAGACGTGACTGCATTTCTAGATCATGTTGTTCTTTCTCATGTTCATGATGATGTGTTTCGATAAGTCCATAGTATCATGGAGCTACTGGTTGATCTCCCTCTTGATGGTGTCCCAGATATTGTAGTTCATAGGATTCAAATCATTTTATTCAATGGAATTCAAATCAGAAGAGATAGGAGGCCACATATCAGAGGTAAAATAATTTTCAGCTAGACACTTCTGGGTCACATGGGCCATTTAGGAGGAGAGTACTCCTGCTGGAACATGTACAGCATGCATGGATCCAACACTTAACTACTGTGTCCAGCACCTTGAAGTAGGTAGTTGCATTGACCTTGGGGCCCTGTGCAAGAAATGCAGTACTATGACATAGTCCACATTATTTGTGTCACTAAGGAATATCATAGACAATACAAACTTCATGTGCATCATTGTGGGGAAACCGATAAGATCCATGCATAGCCATGCCATTTCTACTGCTCACTTTTAAGGAATAAATTTGTAGTATAAGTCAACACCAATCAAAGTATATATACAAAAATGTTGGGGGCACCTCAAGATGGTGTAATGGTTAGCAAGCTTGTCTTGCTAGAACAATTACGACTGACTAGTGAGTTTGATCCTCACTGGGTGCCCCTTAATTTCGGCCTTGTGCCATATCTAAGTTACACTTGGAAAATCACTATATACAAAAATGTTGGTGCTCTTACACGACCAATGAACCACAAGTCCATTACTCTACCAATGAGCCACCAGTCTAATATTCTACTAATGAACCAACAGCCCATTACTCAGCCAACAAACCACCAGTGCATTACTCAGCCAATGAACCACCAGTCCATTACTCTACCAATGAGCCAGTATAAATTGTAGGAACAAACTCCAACTACTTAGTTAACCTTATACTTCTAGGCCATGACCTTGTTTCAGTAACATACACTTGTTGAAACAATTTATAAGCTTAGTAATGTAGGTAGATACTCTAACTACCCTCTAATCAAATCAAGCCCCAAATTCCAAGGTTTTGCAAGTGACTCTTAGCAAACTAGCATTTGTAAAATTATTGATGCTGATTTATTTACATTAAGTCTAGCACAAGGCAACAATGTGGAGGAGCCTTCTTTATCCAACAACTACATTACCATGAGTGCTTTAAAGAGATTGACATTGCAATGTCCATTTGTAGCCACATAGTGACAGCACAGTGACTAAAGGAAAAAAGGAAAGAAAAATTTATTCTTGCAGCCTTTGACTGCTTTGTGATCAGCTTAATTCCACAGAGAATAGTCATTAGCAATGATGATAGGCTTCATAATGAGGTGCAAATATAACACATGGAAAGTTGCTGAACTTGCTAGGTCAAGGAAGACTGGGTAATTCTCACCTGAACAAAGTGAAAAATTTCTTTTTGTTGGTCAAATTTTGTTACTGCAAATTATGCTAGCTTTCTGGTAGAGTAGTACAGATAATTATGCCCAGATAATTACAGCAAAAAACTGTTACTCATATAACCAACCTCAGCATAGTCTAATCACTCAATATTATATAAAGATATTATTGATGTAAATTCATATATGTGTAATGCATATATATATATATATATATATATATATATATATATATATATATATATATATATATATAAAAAAAAGGAAAATTTATCTTAGCAGATATATTTCATCCCTCTGATTGACTTTATCAAGGCAACTTTAAGGATTTTATTTTGCAACAAGTATTTATAAACAAAAGTAAAAATGTTGTTAATTTTTCAAAAGTTTTAAATTTAAGAACACTCATAAATATACATCAAGGTAACTGAAAAGTCTAGGTGAATTATGGAAGATACTAAGTGACATAATTTTATGTCTAATAATCAAAAGTGAGTTAATGTTCTTTTTAAATAATTAATATTCATATTATTTTAGTTTGGGATTAATTTATGTATTATATATTGTAAATAAT